CATTCCGATTCCAGGCAGTCTGGCAGGTCGTTGATGAAAAGCAGAAATAGTATTGGCCCCAGTACTGATCCTTGCGGAACGCGTGACCCGTGTACTGTATCGTCTAATGGCATTTCGCCTGCTAATTGCCATGTTCCATTCACGTTTTGAATGATGCTCTATCCTTACACTTCTATTTTTCATTCCATTATTTCTGCAGCGCAATTTGTACACTTTGTCATCTGTCTTGTTCTCGGCCATCGATTTGCTTCGTGTTGACCTACCCGGGATCAACATCCTGCTACCGAGACTATTTGCTGCGTGTCAATACGTTTTCAGGGATGAAAATATCACGTGAGTACTTTTTCCGACCTCTGGAAAAGGTCGGGCAAAATCTGTTCGTATTTTGCTCCGTTTGTTCCCAAAGCTACCTTTTCTTTGTACAATGATGCACTGAGTGAATTAGTCGACGAGGATTTGAGGATTGTAAATGCATTATACACCGGATGGTAAGAATAGAAAATATAATAAATGTTTTTACTTCGTTTTTGTTTATTGATCGAGTACAGAAATGTACGATGAAATTTGAGGAAGGAGTCCGGCGCCATGCGAAGCCTATCCGAGGAAATACAGATATTAGAAATAGGGGTGATTGGTGCGGGATTCGAACTCAGATCATCCACGTGGCTATTCTAACAACCTTATCGCACTGCCACCGCGGTCGATAAATACATTTTATTCTCTTTTCTCACTCTTTCCGGCTCCCGGTAACAAATCGGATCGTTTTTTTGTATTTCCCTAGGTCTGATTTTAAAATTATCATCATCATGCATGTTTTGTTTTGTTCTCTGTCCACTCCAGGCGTCCGGAATACATGACAATGGCAATGCTTCGCAGAGCTGCTATTCACCAGTTGATGTCCATGGTGTGTATCCCCATACAATTCAAAACAGTCAAATTACACTGTGAGTTCCGAAAGAAAAAACATCTCCCTCGTCTGAGTATCGTCGTCCCTGTTTTATCGTAACAGCTGACTCACAAATTGTTCTCCACGCTTTTAACCCGGCAGGTTTGATCCCCATATCAAACAAATTGAAGGACCCCGTGGTCATGAGCGATCTGAAAATGCAGTTGGCTCGTTTTTTGCTTGAGGAAATCATGCGAGAAAAGGACACCATCAATTTGAAAATGTTGCTGAGTGAGTCACTTTCTTCTCATCTGTACGCAATACTTTCTGTTTCACAAAGCTGGTGCATGCGAGGGTGGCAATGGTCCAACCCTTGACCCCCCATACAAAGCAATTCATTCTTATGAGGGAAATGCATCACTGGTTCATCGTTTATCATTAATGCTTTAATTTTATCACGATCGGGAGCCGGTATCATGAATAGCGCTAATATCAACTTTCCCTGAAAGCCGAATCTATATAAGACCTTCCGACGACCAATGACACTAACAAAGTTGATTAGCCTCATCTGTCTCGTCCACTTTTCGTCTTTTTATTTATTTATGCGTTATAGGAATCAGTTGGTTCCATTCGCAAAGCGCATATGTTCACTCTCTAATATTGTTGCTCTTCTGGAGAGATCCCAGTTTGAGAGGTCGAAGCGCTTGACCACTGGCAGCTTTGATGTAATATTTGTTATATGCTGAATTGTGTTGTTTTCCGATTATCCGAGCTAACTCATCCACACAGGTCCACTGTCGCTCAGTTTCTCCATAACTGGATGGTACGTCCTGCATCTGATTCATCGGTTCGAATGTGTGTGTGTGTGTGTGTGTGTGTGTGT